CCACCGTAAGAGAATCAGGTGACAATCATAAACACCTTACTGAAACTTTCTTTGCATTGACAGAACCAAATTTGTATACTTTTTCTCCTCATTTTCGATAATAAATAGACTTTTTTTGTTGCAGTCATTTGGGTAAATCCATGCTTTTTGAAGAGCACAATACAGTATTTTCACTTCCTCCTACTAAATAGTTTTCATGGTTCTACAAATTTTTTTGTGTTGAGCCACATGCCTCGGCAAAAATTGGTGAACATTATGTTTTTCAGCTTTTTAAAGTTGTAAATCTTGGTTTATAATTTTATTTATTGCAGCTACAGATGTGCTTAAAGTCTTAACAATTGATTTTTGCATCTGTGGATTTTTTTCTTGTTACCAACAATTTAATTAAAAAATCTGATGTGTACACCACATGACTTCCTTGTACGGAATATTAACTTATACACATTTTTTCTTGCATTTCATTTAAACTTATTGGATTGAATTAAATCTACTTCGCCGACAGCGCATAAACCACATTAGAATAAATGCATTTTTTAAAATTCATTCTATTTGTTTACCATAGCGACACTCTGGCCTAGGTTCACTTAACAGTATTATATTTCATTCATATTATATCTCAGAATGCACAAAATTGATATTGTTTAAAGAATTATCTAATCGTTGCCAGAAGTTCTATTCAAATACTATAATAAAGCTAGAACGATGTATAAAATAAATTAAGCAAACAAAACAAAAAGAAACAGTTTTTCACAGATGATTGAGTATTTCTCATTCAATTAATTCAGTACTCACTTCGCGACAAGGCAAAAATACAAAAAAACTCAAAATATCTGTATTAAAAATTACGAAGTAAATCTTAAACACTTATTTCCTCGAAAAAATTCCAGAAAGGCTTCAGCATAATTTAATTCAAAATAATAAATCAAGGCGTTATCTTTGTTGTTGCAAAGCTAAGTTTCTCTAGATTGGCAACAAATCCACTATCTTGCTGTTTCAAATGTAAACAAGTAATGGCCGCCATCAAGAAAATTATTAGGCTTAGCGGCAATTAAACAACTTCAAAATTGTTGATAATTCTAAAAACATTGCATAGAGATTTACTAAAGGCATAAAAACCTTAACCGGAAGATAAGAACAACATAATTCAATCATTTTTAAAGCAAAAAATGTACAATTTACAAACATATAAGAGTAAAGAAACTAAGATCACCAAGTCGGGTAACAGAGTGGATATATATATAAATATATTTATATATGTTTGGTGCGGCTGTTTGCAACCAAAATATGAGGTGCACATCTACATGTTATAGCAGTCCTATATACAAAATTTCAACGTTCTGAGGCTACTCGTTTTTGAGTTATGCGAGATACGTACGTACGTGCATACGTTCATATAGACGCCACGAAAAATTCTCTTCAGAACTCATTTTAAAGCAGTTTTATAATTTTTTTGGAGGAAAAGAGTATTTTATTCTTTCCTTACGTACAGATATCACGCAAAAACATCGTTAAATTGCATTCGATAGCGGTCAAAATGAATATTTTTGTTGAAATATGCTGCCTGAAACTTTTCGCGATTGTAATACTTCCTTTTTACTTCGTTCAAAGAAGTAAAAACATTAGAAACAGTATGTACCTTTTCAGGCATTTGTCTGGAGTCTTCTATCCATGTACAAGTAATGACTGAAAGTTTTTTTCTTTTCTGATTAATAATGTTGTTTATTTTGCACCTTGAAATTTTAATACCAAGCATTTTGCTATGTTTTTCAATTATAGAATACATCTCTTCAGAAAATGCAAAAATATATCCTTCAATCCCCAGCTTATTTACATATGACATTTTGAAAGAATAAATTTAAATGTACCAGATGATATTTCTCATTTTAAATAATAAGCTGCTGCCAGAAATTTTTATTCGAAAATATTTGATCTTTTAAAAAAATCTTTTATCGAAATCTTTCTAAATTTGTGTAAACACCCTCTGCAATAACTGTAAATCTAGTAAATTCATTGGTTTATCTTAATATCTGATTACTCATTGTCATTTGCATAATACAAAATCTACAAGATATGTGACAACGTGCTGGTGTATTTTAACATTTAATAACATTTGTGATTACTTTAAGAAAATAAATAATATAGACTTATACCTGCATACATTTTTGAGCTCATTATAATTTTATTCTAGGTTCATTCTGATTACCTGCACCACCTCCTCCCCAGAAAAGTATTCATAAAGCAATGCACTACATTGCCAAAATAGTGATATGGCAATTTATGATGCTGCCAAAATGTAATGATGCAGCAACTCGGGTACATACATGCTAGCAACCCTTCATATTCAATAGTCATTTTTCCAATTAGTATTTCTTTCTGCATTCAGTTTTTCCCCCCTTGTAATGAATTGTAATAGAACTATGGAATTTGCTGGCCAATGAAAAGAAAAGCGTAATATTTCTTTCAAAATATGCCGTTTTGTCCAACAGTAGAAAATACAAAAGTTTACATTCAATGACTGAGTTGTAAGTGCTGTTTAAGAGGTACTGAGCTAAGCTCAGAGCTAGATACATCATTAAGCAAAATCAAAACAAGAACACATTACAACTTTTGCAATTTTTTTTATTTTGGCAAAACAGAAATGTGTTACATGCATCCTAGGCTGTACACATAAATACTATTTGGCAATATCCACAGGTTGCCAAAAAGTATTTATGTGTACAGCAAAAAGTATTTAGGTGGCTTGCCTAATGAATGTTTTTTTATGGTTCTTTAGAAAGAGTATGGATAATCAGAAAGTATTTTTTTCACTGTGAAAAAAAAGAGAGAGGACAGTTCTGTATCTCCCGTTCTACTGGGCCGATTGACGAAATTCAAATTTCGTTTTTCACGTCTCGAAAGCATGACTTATGATATATATTAGATTTATATATAACATTGTCTTAAAATAGGTATTTTGACATCAAATAAGACTTTTTCTGAAATGGCATGCCAATATTTTTCCATATCAAAACTTTAGCTTCTCTAATTGAATTTGGTATATATTTATTAATATCTCTTTTTTTTTATTAAACTTTTTTGATTCTTCCTTTCACATTTTGAAATTTAGGTTCATTCCAAATAAAATTTGCCCCTTTTTTATGATTTATTTTTAAAATTTGCATTTTTAAATAGCTTTTATAAATTTTTTGGATTATAACTTATAAAATTTTTACCATCATCTTAATGTAGCTATATTTCTAAGCATACCTGCAAAAAATTAGAGTTTTTAATTCAAAATTTCCTAAAATATACAAGAATTTACATATTGGCTCATTTTGAAATTTGGCATATTTGTTATAAGCGATAGCGCCAAATGTGGTTTACGCACTTTATTAAGATTACTTGAGAGTAAGAACGATGACCATTTCTCTGCTCGTGTGCAATGAAAAATAAAAGGAAAATAGGTTGCCATAAATTAAGAAGTTCGCCTAGTTCACAAACTGAAAAACATATGCCAAGTTTTTTTTAATTTCTCCATAAATTTCTCACCAAAAAGTACAAAATTTAATATTTAAGCATAATTTGAATTCTAGAATAGAAATATGGGAAAAAATTGTTATGTTATTTCAGAAAAAAGTTTGGCTTTGTGTCAAATACCTATGTGAGAATAATGCTATAGATAGGATATATAAATAGGATATATAAATCTAATATATATCCTAAGTCATGCTTTCGAGACATGAAAAAGGCAAGTTGAATTTTGTCAATTGACCCAGTAGAACAAGAGATATAGAACTGTCCCATTTTTTTTTGTTTGCACAATGTACCTTTTTTTATTTGTAGGCTACATGGTCTATTTGCTTGTTTTTCCACTTGAAAATATTCATGTATTTTATTGGAAAATATCAACATATAAACAAAATCAAACAACTAAAGGGTCAACTTTACATTTATTAGTTGAAGATTACTGTTATGTGCTTCATTCACAAAGCTAAAATATACTAAAAGAAAAAAAAATCCCACTTGCTTTTATTTGAAAAAAATTATTATTATTATTATTTACTAAAATACCACAATTTCTCCAAACAGATTTATTGATATTATTTTACATAAATGAATCATCTTTATAAATAGATACTCTTATCAAATATGAAGCTATTTAATATCATTTCAATAATTCTTTCTCACATAAATAATTAGCATGATTTCTCTTTTCTACTTTTTGATTACTTGCATAGCATAAATCTTAACTTCAAAGTCTTCATCTAATATTAATGGTAAAAAAGTATTATAATTTTTTGCCTTCATTTAACAGACGTAACCAAAATTACACACATTACAAATTGAACTACATAGCAATGACAAATGATGTTTCGGAGGCCCTGAACCAATTTCTAACATGGAGGCTCTTTTTCTTTTTGCAACTTTTAACACTGCACCTCAAAATAATTTTGTCATTAAGTTTCATGATGTGGCCATTTCTGCATACTTGTTTGTCAGGTACAAGATTACTTTCTTGAAAAAATAATACGTCATCCAGCTCATTACTTGGTAAATTAAAGATTGTTAACACCATAATATTCACACACACACAAAAAAAAGTAATGAATATATTTTTAAATAAACAACGCGAATTTGAAAACCTGATCAAAAATGAAACACAGTGACAGCAAAGATGCAACCAAGTGCTACCATATAATTACGTAGTGAGGTATAAGAACACACATCTGGTGCCAATACATGATTGCGTGATGAGGTACAAGAACACGCAGTCAGATTTTAGCGAGATATCTTGGTTGACTGACAATTCAATGTCGAGGGCTGCTATAGCAATGAAGTGCAAAATTATCTCCCAACCAAAAGTCAACAGTATATTCATTAGTTCACAGATAACATTTATCAAATTTTCTCTCTCATCAACACTTCCCTATATTAATAAATTATGTTTATAATGCTGGTTTTCCATGCAACGACAAACACATGTTTGAACAGAGTTTGATTTTTCAGGTTATAGGACTTACCTGGCCATCTTCATCTAATCCACTTTTAGGAGAGACAAGTTTGCTAGTCAGAGAAGCTCTACATTCATCATTTTTTACTGATTTTGGTGTATTCTGAATATTTTCTTGATTTGGTAGCTCCTGCTGTGAGTCTTCAGACTGTATCTCTAATACTGGAGGAGACAGAGGAGATACAGCAATGTTTTCTACTTCATCAACAACCTGCATAGATAAATTAATAATTTAAAATTCACATATCAACATTACTGTAATAAGTTTTAAAACTTATATCATTAAAATATGAATGATTAAACAAGCCTGATATATTAAAACACAGCCATGCCACAGCTATTTACACAAAATTCCTTTTTAAAATATTGATAGATTTTTAGAATGTCAGGCTGGAAAAATTGGCATATTTTATAAAAAGTTCATTTTTAAAAGAAACACTAATTTCTTGAAACCTAAATTCATTTTGGTTAATACATATATATAATTTCTAGTTGCCCTCATTAAGTCACTGGGCTAGGGTTCAAATCTCAAAACCATTAATTTTTCTAGTTATTTATCCTCTCTTGTTGATTAATATTAATCATCCCCCTCTCTTGGTGCATTCTGGGCAATGTTCTAGGTGATGAAACAACTAAGGACAAAGTATTCATCTACTGGAAAAAAGTATTCATTTATGTATATCAGTATATGGACAGTATCATGATATATAAACTGAAAAGCTAAATATGAAGGCGTATAATATACAACTATATCATAAAATAAATAAAACTAAAATATGTAAAAATGAAATTTTACAGAAAAAATACACTTTTGATATTAACATGGAATGTGAGCTTTCCTAATTTGTGTACACATATGAGAACATGATTCCAAGTATTTAGTTAATTAATTCAGACTTACAAAGAGTACACTCTATTTCTTCACCAGTACAGACTTCAAGATACTGAGATCTCTAAAAGAAATTTATTGCATACTAAGTTTCCCTAGAATATTTCAAAAGTTCTTCACAAGTTCCAAATCAAGAGATTTAGCTGGTGATTCATTTACTCAACACTTTTAGTTTCAACATCCATTAAAAAGAAAGCTACATCCCTATGTACCCTTAAAAAGTTTTACACTAGGCTGAAAAACTTAATCTTGATAATTGAGGATAGCATACATTTACTGCTGAACATGTGCAACGTAGGATATCCATTAATAATTACTTTTTTCCATACCATCACAACAGTTTCAATATAAAAGCATGGTCCCGTAATGCTGATAAAAATATTTCACATTCTTAATTTTTTGTATAATGCACACCAATTTTGCATACTAACCATATTTTAAATTAAATGTTAAACTGAATCTTAATTTATCATTTAAGAGAAAACAAGTCCACTGTGAACAATTAAAGCTCTGATATATTCATAAGGAATATCCAGCTCCACTGATTCCAAATGGTCCACTTTTGCCGAGTTCAATGAAATACAAAGAAAGCATTGACTTTCTAGAATAAAAGTTTCTTGTTAAGCGTAATACAAATTTTTCAGCGATAGCTACAAGCTCTGGAAAAGTTATGTTATTTATAAGTTGTTGGTAAACCCAGCCTCCTAATAACAATTTCAAAATCTTTAAACTGTTCATGAAAGATCAGAGACTTTCAGCCACCTTTTCATTTTCATTATTATATTTCAACTGGTTACCACAAAGAACCTTCTAAATAATATTTTGGTAGCATTTAAAAATAAAAATAAAAAAACTACTCTGACTTAGTTAACTCTGAAATCAAACATTCTGTTACAGAAGTTTATAAGAAAACAGACTTCATGCAAGAGTAAAGTGGCCACATTTTCATTGAGACAAAGCGGGACAAATGGAATGAAATGAGAATTATAATTTAGTTATGAAAGCAGACCAATAATTCAAAAAATATATTTAATTTATGCATTCATATACTTGTCTATAAATATACAAAAATATATTTGTTATTAACAATTGGTAACTATAAAAATATTCATAAAAAACAATAATTTGAATATTATGTTTTTAATTAATTTAATATTTTTTTAATTATGATTTTTTTCCACAGTTATATTTTTTATCTGAATGAATGCATACTTTGCAATAGATTCGAATCATTTATTAAAATGTCTTGAAATTTCTCACATGAATTGATCAAATTATATTTTAAGTTTAATACAGATTTTAAAGTTTTAATGTTCAACTGCGTTTTTTTCAATTGTCCATATTTTATTGATACTATAAGAAACACGTTCTGTTGCTGCATTTGTTCCTGGAAGGGAGAGCATGTGTTCTACAATTTTCAAAATATATTCATAAGGAATATTATTCTTATATTTAAAAGGAAAGAATAACTCCGTCCATTTTTTGTCTGTTTCCACATTTGCAGACAACCAACATCTAATTTTTTTCATCAGTAACGCATCTTCTTACCAATGACACCTCATCAAAAAGATCATTTTTGCAAATATTATTTTTCAAAAAATAGTTACTAATACATTAAAAAGATTTTGTCCAGAGGTTGCGCGGATTTTAGGATTTTGCGGATTTTCAGGACAGAAAAGACTAAAAGTGCAAAATAAATAAGGCGTATTAGATATATTTAATTGAATTACTATATACTACATTAATACAATAATTAATTACATGCAGTAAATTATTATTACATATATAAAGTTATTACATTATATTGTTCATTTACATTAGGCTCCTCTATTTTCAAATAAGCATAAATCTGCTTCCCCTTTTCTCTCAGGAGTAGTCCTCAAATACGTACCCCATCACTCTGCCGCTGCCGGGACCACTCGTACAAGACAGCATCAAGGTTTGCCGATTTCGCTTCATGTAAAGATTTCCGGTGTTAGAATCACTGTTGCTGTAAAATTTCAACAGCTTTTCTTTATTGTCCGTATATCATACACAGACCGTGTGGCAATTCCATACGATTAAGCTATAAACCGAGCAGTAGCATCTGCCTCCATCTTTAGTAGAATTTCCACTTATTTCATTACCATCAATGCAACGTGTTTATGTTTTTCAACATTGCAAGCAGTAAAATCAAAAGTACGTTTCTTATCTGTCATTGTATTAAAAAGCGCTGAAATTTAAAATATGCTTAATTTATCCACAAAATATCTGGGTAAAAAAAAAAAAAAAGACGACATCACTAAACAATCTCGTGAAATAACAAAGCTCAGAAAGTACAACAACGTGAAGCGTGAACTTGAAAGAAGAGTTGAGTTAATCGTCTGCTTTTTTACCTCGATGCAGATTGGAGGGAAAAAAACTTTTATCATGATGTCAATAATTTAGTATTTCCGTTATTATTACTCAGTAATTATGATGTCATTATCCAGTAAGTATTTTTTCTTCAATATTTCGCACTCCATGTTGCGGTTTCCGGAACCTATAAACTAAATGTTTATATTTTGAGAGGCAACGCGGATTTCAGGTCGGCAGATTTTCGGTATTGACTGTATCCTCAAATTGAACTGTCCGTTCTTCAAGCTATTCCAAGCAGTTATTATACAAATTTCTGACTTCTTTCAGAAAATCAGGTCGTTTAATATGGCCTGATAATATGGTCGTTTAATATGGCCCTTGTTCTTCCAACCTAGTGATGCCCTTTCGTCTCCTTCAACAATTTTCACAGCATAGTGAAATAATGTAGCTTGGCTGTGGATGAACTGAAGACAAATTTGTGATGTGTCATTTGCAAAAAACAGCTGCTATATTCTTGGACATTTATATTGTGATAAAAAGTATGATTATTAATGGTTCATATATTTTAAAATATTTTCTACAGCTCATCGTGTTTTGCTGTAACCAATAATTCTTTTATATTCAATTTCTGCACTTTCACAAAAATCCTTCAAACTTTCGACATGCACAGTATATATATATAAAAATACGAATAAATTTTTGAAATAATATTTTCAACATCCACTGGAAGTAAGTCAGATGCTGCTTGAATAGTATTGTGTAGAATGTGTGCTGCACAACCTACTAGCAATAACTTTTTGGTTCAAACATTCGTTAAGTTTCGTAAAAAAGTTATTGATGCCTCTTCTAGCTTTTAAACTAAAATTTGCATTAGTGTCAACAATAAAATTATTGCCTGTCAAATTATTCTTTTTTAAAAGAGTACTTATTAAATCAAAAATTATTTATGAAGTTTCACCCAGCAGCCACCCAGACGGTATAATGGTTAGGGGAGCCTGACTGCAATACCGAAGGGCCTGATTTCGAATCCCGGAGAAGGCCTGGTTGTAACTGTCTGTCCCTTGATAGGAGGCAATGGTGGCCCACCTATTAGGTGCTTCCATAATAAAGAGACCACCACTCTGTTCTTAGTATAGATTAATGGACTCTGTTACAAAACTGTAACTGTTCACAATCTGCCATTGGGGTAAAAAAAAAAGTTTCACCCGGCAATGAAACAAAATCTAATATTCCAATTTTAATTCCTGTTTCTGGATCAAAAAGTCTAACAATTGTAGGAAATAATTTTAAATCTTTGTGGTTGGAAACATCATAATGCAGTCAAAAGTCTTTAATCCGGACTTGTCGAGACTTCGGCGATTCCGGATTATAGATCATCAGTTTAAATCTGGTAAGATGGCATGCAGAAATTATAAAATTAAAAATATCAAACCGTAATTTATGAAATAAAGAACAATTATGATCTAAAGGGTATAAAAATTTACAAAAAAAAAAAGCTTAGTATTTATTTGTTTACTTTATTAAACATTTCTCTCAACGCGCGCATGCATAAAGCATACATTACACATAATCGAAATTAGAAAATTGCAACCAGAAAACTATTTGATGTGTATTTGTGATATTTATAATGAATTTGATTAAATCATATCAGAGTACATCGAGATGAAATACTACATTTAGTAATGAATTATAAGGCAAATAAAATAAAAAAATCTGCCCTGAAGATAAAGATAGCACTGACAGATCAACTTCCAGTTCATTGCGTGCCGTGACGTTCCCCTCCCCCGCACAGCAGCGTGAAATTGATAAACAGATTTTGGAATGGTTAGAGAAACAAAGGATATGCCTTTATCCATTTTTTGCAGCAAGTCCAATTTTTGCTTGATGGACATCGAAACATGCTTTTGCTTTGTAGATCCTTTGGCAGCTCCAGCATCGGAAATTCCATTTGACATAATCGAAAGTTCAAGCTTACTTTTATAAAA